CGGACTCGGCGCGTGTGGCCGAGCCCGGCGGCCGGCGGGGGGTCGTCGTCACGCCGGAGGAGATCCCGCGCGGCGGCGGAGTCCGTCTCAGGGGAGCCCGTCCGAGAGCGTATCGGCCGTGGGGGCGCGTCGACGGAGAGGACGAGGCTGTTCGGCATCCCACACTTCACGGTGCCGGCGGGGTTGTCGCTGTAGAGCCGCGCGAGGAGGGGGTTCAGCCCGCCACACTCGTCGGCGACATCCTTCGCGACGTGGTTAGGGTTGCGGTGGTGGAGATGCGCCGGGGCCGGGGGGCTGCCCAGGTCCTGCCGCGAGAGCGAGAGTTTCGAGCGCATCCGTGGGCCGATGGGGTGCAAGGGTGGTAGAACGCGATTTTAATCGGCCTTCTCTCTCGGGGGACGATGGAAAGGATTGAGCTCTCCTCGAATATCAATTACAGCGATCGGCCTGATCTAGAGGGTTCGTTGAAGCCACGCTGAAACCGACAATAATAAAAAAATAAAAAGATTCAGTGCTAGTCCTGCCTGTCTCTCTATCCGTTAGACCGTTGGTTCTAACGCGTCGAAATATACTAAGTAAACGATTGCGTAATACTGAAAGTAATCGCCTTTATTTTACTATCAGAGGTAGTGATACCCCCAAACACACATACACACAAACGGTAGTGAAACAGAAAAAAGCGAGGAACAGGTATTATCCTTTTTCGTACAAAAATAGACCAATTCCGTGCAATCCTAGATTAACCTCTATGGGGTATATCATTTAGGGAAGGCAATCAGCGTGGAAAGAAAATAGAAGGCAAATGGGACCTGCTGTAATAGCAACTATTATTTTTACCAAACAACTATAGATTCACTATAATACAGCATCCTCCTTATATCGATTTGAAGTTACGCTTTGGACGAATGTTGACGATTCCCACCTTCTTCTTTCATGGTTTAATCGCAAAATACATCATAATTGCATATTGTACATCTAGAACACGTGTCAATTACATCAATGAACATTAATATAGTACGAATTTGAAATTAAACATGGAAATTGAGAAAGAATATCTCTCTAAGGTTAACCTGTAATTGAACACTTTATAACAAACAATGAATCCATACAGAAATGCAATACTATAGAAAAAAACATAAAGTCCTTTAAACTGTTTATCTCACAATATAAAACTAGAAAACTAATATACAATGAAATATGCATTGTCATACGAAAAATGCCAAGTAACAATAATAAAATCATAAGCATAAATGCATACATAATCAATCGAATCGAACCATAGGGAAAGCTACAAGGTTCAAAGCATCCTTCGTTTTACACCGTCTTCGCTGTGTCGATAGCGTTCTTCTGCTTAGATTCTTCCATAGCGACCTCAGGGTGGCATAAACTGAATAGCATTTCGATCTCCTGTTGCTCTTGTTCAATGATAATCATACGTTCTGTTTCTTCGTCAAGAGTAATGCAAAGACCCTCGGACTTGAAGGCGTATGCGACTGAATCACGAAAGTGAAAGGGAATCGTTGCGCCTGGAACCCGTTGCAAAGTACCAGTGATTGCGTTACGCCACAATAGCTCCCTCGTGAAGAGATCGGCCTGAGTTAACATCGCCAATTGAAGATTACTAAAAGCAATCGATTCCTCCGACATCGTTTCCTCACGAATCACCATCACTCTTTGCGAGAGCGGAACCGCATACATGCTATCCAACACTGGCGGACCGCTCTCCTCCTCCTCATCAGATTCCTTTATTAAACGGCCTTCCCCGAAGGTGCGCCGAATGATTCGCTCCTCACACTCAGAAATACATTCCCGCAGCATTTTCATGAGCGCCACACCCTCAGCCATCTCCAAATCCTCAATCTGCTTGCGCGCCTTCACCTCCGACAATATGAAGTTGTTCACCACACCGTATGTGAGATTGTAATATTGCTTCGCTAGCCGACAAAAGCCAGCGTTTTGCAAAGTTATGATATCTTTATATTCCTCCCGCTGGCGCTGAATCAGTGAGAGAAGCGTCTTTCCATATCGATTGCTGAAGCCGCGGCTCTGAGCAAGCTCTCGGAGTTCCTTGTTTAACTCCTCCAATTCACTCGACTCGGTGGAATCCTCGGGTCTAAAGCAGGAACCGAATTCAATATACCCCTCAGGAGTATATAAAAGAGATGAGATCGATTTGCCCTTTTTTTTGCACGTGTCTGCATCACCGTATAATCCATAGCGATCCATTGTCAGCTTATAGTTCCGCTTCGCAGCGTAATAGCGAGCCTTGCACTCTTCTTCAGTGACCATCGCCCACCTCTTCAGTGCCTCTTCATTTTCGATGAGTGCAAGACCTACTTGAACTTGTGGAGTCTCGTAGATCATTTCTTTTTGCTTGAATTTTAGTGCTCCTATAATAAAATACCTGTGAAAAACTAAGAACGCAACAAATGAGTCTTTATGATATACAATTCTATAGAAATTGAGCTAGAAAAGTGTGCTGTATGTAAGACAACAGTAAAGGATAAGGGTTTTGGGGGAGGGGGGGAATCCTAAAAAAGGTAATAAAAATTGATAATTATACACTAAAGAAATGAAATAAGGAGAATACAGAGAGGAATTGCTCGTCAACCCATATACTGAAGTCCCTTGTCCATAGTTTACCCATTCTGTAAGAAAGAAAAAATAAAAGGAATTGCGAAGCACAGAAACCACCAACCAAACCCTATCGATATTCCATTACCCATGCCCTACGCTAGCGGAAGACCGCTCGATGGGTGACCATCCCCCCCTCCCCCCCCCCCCTCTATCCTTCTGTCGCCGATTCAAGAAACCGACAAAGAGGGGGCGGCGGCAAGGGTCTGGACGGGCTCCCCAGCCTCCCCCTTTCCTCCCTCCGCAGGTAGCCGCCGTGTGAGCTCCTCAATCTCCTTCGCCATCCCCCCCTCCACCCACCGCCGCGCATCCACCCCAAAAAGCCGCTCCGTACACTCCATGACATAGGGAAAAAGGACCCCAACGAAGACGCGCACGAAGTCGTCGTAGCCGCCCTGCTCGAGGGCGGGAAGGGTTTCCACCACCGCCGCCTCCCGCGTGAGATCCGCCGCGATCCGGCGAAGCAACCCGACGAGGTGCTCCGCCGCCTGCGAGGGCACCCCCGCGAGGACCACCCGTCGGCAGAGGTTAAACGCCGTGAGCATCCCATTCACCGCGCAGGCGAGGGGCAGGCAACGCGCGAGAATCACCGGCGGGGAGGTCCCCATCGCCGTTTCCGAAATCGCGCCTTCCACGGCCCGCCCGGACCCGCGAAGGGTGGTGGATCGACGCCAGGAAACCCCCCGCATGCTACGGGTGTACGCCCCCGCCGCGAGCGTCATCTGCGCGGCGAAAAGCCCCCGAACGCGGCGGCGAAGGATCGCGTGGAGGGCAGGGGAGACGTCCAGCCGCAGCCCCACGACACTCGCCGTGCAGGCCGCGCACTGCTCTGCCACCAACGCGAGCTCCGAGCCGTTCGTGAGCAGTTCCACAGCGCGCTCAAAGGCCGCGAGAAAACGCTCCGCGCGGGTGTAGCACCACCGCTGAATCCCCTCCCCCCATCCTTCCGCGTCGTCGGCGTCTTCCTCGTCTTCCGCCTCCCTTCTTTCCCCTTCCTCCGCTTGCCTCTCTGGGGAGGGTAGAAAACACACCCCGTACTGCGTGAGTACCTCGCTGGTTTGGTTTTGATAGATCTTAATCAACTTGATCACGCGTGTGTAGGGGAGGGGACTCTGCTCGGCCTCCTGCATGAGCCGATCCAGGTAGATCGTCCGCCTCTCGAGGAAGAGATCGGAAACCCGAGACTTATCGATGCCCAATCGGCGTAAAAACGTGATCAGCTTGAAGGTAACATCCACCGTGAGGGCCTCCGATAGCCGCGGCAGCACCACCTCGTCAAAGCACACGTCTAGGTTATGCCAAAGCTCGAGCTGAATGCGCGTGAAGGGATTCTCTGCCCTCGCATCGCGCGGGGTGATTCTCGACATATGCTCGATCAGCAACAAAGCCTGGTGATACATGCCGTGGTAGATGCAATCCCGTAGCAGCGATGGCGCCTCTGCTATCGCTAGTAATTGCGGATAATTTGACATGGCATTCGTAAGGATTTGCTTCTCTCCACGCCAAGACGCGCCGACATCCGACATCCTTTGGCTATGAAACTGGAGCTTAGCTAAGGTTTCTCGTAATAAGTTGGATTTCCGTATTGCCTCAGAAGCTACGGCGTCTATGCGTTTGTTCGACTCTCTAGACTCGAGCAGCAACTCAAAGTTCTCGACAGCTGCCTCCGTGATCGCCCGCTTCACACTGTCTTTGCTGTCTCCGTTCATGTTACTTTGTTGTTTTATTTTTTATTTGCTTGTTCTACTATAATTTGGCTATTAACTAACCAACGCTTTAAATTCGATATGGAAACAGCACAACATAAACAAGAAAAGAGGAGTAGGAAAGAAAAAAGTGAGAAGTGATAACGTGAAAAAAATTGCAGAGGTACAAGAACCCTCCCTCACTGCTAAGCGAATTGAAAAAAACAAGAGAAATAAAATGTGCAAATACTCCACACCATCACCATGGTTAGCTTTTCTGGAATACAATCAAATCAGAACACAGATCAAGAATTTATAGGTTCTACGAAGAAACTAGCATGCAAACAAAAAGCACCATTTTTACATACTTTGCTTAAATTCAGTTGATTGTCGTTGCTAAAATAGGTAAACCCCCTTCTGACTATTTTTAAACGCTAAACAATGTCTGAAATTGTGCTTTTATTCTTCCCCTCTTTGTTATTTGCTTGCTTAAGAGGGGAAATAGGAAAAATAAGTCTGATATGAAGTCAACACATAGAACACTAAGAGGCTGAAATGAGTGCAAAAAGAACTGCCAGCAACAGAGCTAAAGCAAATAAGCGATAAATATTACACGTGATATTTATAGCTTCATTAACATCATTGCGACTCCTATTGATGATACTGTAAATTTACGAGATACCATAACTCACATCTCCAACAAAACACTCGCCGCGATGAGTTTCGCGGCAGAAGAATGACACCATTTTGGCTGATGGGCGAGTTGCTTTTCTGAATCGACATCGAGTTTGTATTTGTTATACATGAACCCAATAGCAAGATCGAGCACATCCGAAGCAATATCTGGCAGATCAATAACTGGATAAGCAATTGAACCGATTACTTCTTTCTGATCAGAAGCTACACCATCACTTGTAGAGCATTCCTCAGAGCTTTTCATTTCCTGCACAGCAAGCTGCACTACGTCGCTCTTTACCCTCTCTTCCTTCAGATATTTATGGCATCGACGGCTTACCATCGCGCAGTTGATATCTACTAAAAATAATTCCTTGTCGGCAGCCCGCAAAAGTACCATATTTTTATGATCCAACTGGATTCGATAAGGGAGCGCTGAATCAGACGGAGTTGAGCGCTGTTGTTTTGACATTTTCCCTGTTCTAGCCTACTTTTAACGACCTATAGTAACCTCAAAAAAATGCTTTTTCTTGTCTCTTAGTCACCAGTTAAAAACTTTTGAAGAACTTGTTGGAACACCCTGGTCTTTTTACGGTACTAAAGGTGAGAAAAGGGGAAAAACTGAGGGAAAGGGGTTAAGCAATCTCATGCTGAACACAAACCAAATCGACTTGTTTCTGGAGCAAATCGGCAAGCGATATATAGTAAGCTAAATTAGATGGATGTAAAGATAAGGTGTATATATTTGAGAAGGGATGGATAAGCCGTTTTACTTTCATTGTTATCTATCTCAGCAATATTCGAGCGAGTCAACATTCGATGATATTTCAAAAAACAGCATCTTATGATCTATATATTGCCTAGTGAGCCAATGAAAGAAAAAACAGACCAACAAAAACAGACTCCCGATATATATAGATAGATCGATAGATATAGTATCTTCTGCAAAGGGTACGGCATATCTAATATGTCATCTTTGGTAGCAATATCGGTAGTGAGGCACTGGAACGTCCGGTTTGCGGCAGCAAAAAATAGCTAGCACACCAAATATCAGCATAAACAATGTTAGCAAAGCGACGATGATAAGTACGTAACCATCCCCGCGTGAAATGGGATTCAGATAAGCGTCATCCATGGTGGTAACATCCCCCTTAAACAGTTGGTATTCATTCTTACGCACATCTGCAGAACAAAGTGTACTAAAGCAACTGCAACACAAAAAAACTACAAATGCGAGGGTGCAAAACGACCGAACGGGTATGATTCTCCGATCCCCATTCCTAGCCATGGTTCACTGATACTATGAAGAAGAATATGAAACAGAAACAGATTCCTTGTGTGTGAAGAAGTAGTAATGTGATAAATTAAATTCATTGTATACATGAAATATATTTTTTTATGCATTTATATGCTATCAACACAACACAAGGTTCTAGTACAGAATGAAGACTGAGCACCTAAGTAAAGGTCATTGACTAGCATTGTTGGAAAAATAGCCTCTTAATGCTGTTGATCGGAAAGTATACGGCATTAGTAAACACAAAAAAATGAAACGCAGCACAACCAAAACAAACAATTTCCAGCAGATTCCCTGTGCGATGGCCTTTGAAAAAGATCTCATTTAAGCTTTTATAAAGGCTTGATCAGCGCGACATGCATGAGTTACCCCTAGCGCGGAGACCTTATAAAAAGCTCAACGGCCACTTTTCCAAAGCATCCATAGGCATGTTTTATATTTTCATCTTTAAATAGTTTATGAAGTTTAATGAATAGCAAAATGAATGAAAAAGACAACAATCCCATGCATAAACAACGAAAAAAAATGTTCACAAAATTCGAGAGTTTCAATAGGTTTACCTCGCCAAGAAAGCAACGGTCAGTAGTAGTACTCTCTAGTCAAGCAGTATTCATAAGCACCGGCTCCCCAAAATAAAATGTACTATAAATTTCAGGATGGCGAAACAAAAATGTATTACTTCACCCTAATTGTTTTATTTATTTCAAATCGTTAAGAATGAAAGGAAACGGGAAGGGGAAGAAAGGCGTGTAGACTAGGACCACTGCCATTCAAGCGTAATGTTCGTCAAGGGCACCATCCACGTAACAACACTCACAAAAATAATCAATTGAATCAACAAGCCACAGGACAAGAAGTTCTTCGCCCGCAAATACGGGTTCCCCTTCGGATCCTCCGCCAGCAGAGAGCTCATATTTGGAAAGGAACTGATGGGGAAGGCCATCGCACCCGAACACATGAGGGTACACAACAAAACCATCGAATTCGACGTCACCGAGAAAGGGCCCTTGTTAGGCTCTAGAAGAAGCCCAATCCTACTGATAATCGGCAACAATACTATGGCAGCCACTGTGTGAGAAATGAAGGTGGAAGTGACGCCCATCATGAGTGCGAGGACAACAAGCTTTCCATACGGCGTTGCGGCAGAAAGGGAGTTATTCAGCCCCACAGCAACGATATCAAGCAGCTTTGAATCGTGCGCACACATCCTGAGCATGTTGCCCCCAGCCATTAAGAACATTAGATGCCACGGAAGGTTGTGAAAGTCCTTTTTGGACAAGATCCCCGTCCCGAAAAAGATGACGACAGGAATGAGTGCGACGAGCCCCGTATCTGCGAAGACGAGATTCTCGGGCAGCAGCCACAGGATAATGGTAATCCCCGACACCACCGCCACAACGGTGCGCGTCGCGACTGACACCTCCTTTTCCGCTTCTGTGTTAACAACCTGCAGCGGGATGAACGGGACCTCGCGGAAGGGCCGCCAGACGACCATGAGGAGCCCCCACGCCACAACCACCCCGAGGGCGACGAGGGGCAACGCGACCCACCCCCACGCCGCAAAGGAGACCCCGCCGAAGGGCATCCCCGCCGCCGCAATCGCGCTCGCCGGCGACCCCACTGGCGAGAGCATCCCGCCTAAATTACAGGCAAAGGCGAGGCCGAGCAGCACCGCATGGGGCGCGGCCCCGCCCTCCGCGAACTCCCACAGCGCACACCGCACCCCTTCCAGCACGAGGAACGGCGCCGCGGCGTTAGAGACGACCCCGCAGACCGCGGCCGCGGCGGCCATCAAGCCAAGGAGGTACACCCCTGGACGGTGGGCCGTGACACGATGGAGGGCCCCTGTCCCGTGACGAGGGAGGTTTGCCTTCGTGACGGCCGTCCCAAGGACAAGGGCCCCGAGCAGTAGGACCTGGGCGCGATCAAAGAGGGCTGTGAGAAGACGGGCCGAGGCCAGCCGGGGCTCCACCGGGGCCCCTGTCCCAGGATCCAGCACCACCCCTAAGGGAATGGCCACGAGAGGGATCAACAGGACGGTGCAAAAGGTGGGGACCGCCTCGGTCCACCAGAGGACTCCGATCAGGACAGCCAATGCGACGCAGTTGTGTGCGGAGAGGTCGTGCCGCAGGAACGGCGCGTGGAGGATAAGGCTGAATAGGAGGAGGGCCACAAAGACCGCACCCCACCTCGCGCCCCACTCACCCGAAAGGTTGAGAGGGGCGTAGGGCGCGAGCGGTTCGTGGAACTTCTTCTCGTAATCCAGGCACGTGTCGGAGATGAGCTTGTGGAGGCGGGGCATTAGGGTGGTGAGGCGAGAGCGGCTCAACTCCGCCTCGATGGCACTCGCGTAATCAGAATCCATATAACGATATTTCTTCACCTTCTTCGAGGCTTTCCGAATCGCCTCCAGGTTGAGTTCAGCGAAGTGCTGCAACTGATGTGCGTTAGCGTACCACTCAAGGAATTGAGCCCTCGGGGTGTTCTTCTCAACCGGCTTTACCTTTAAATCCCCAATCGCGGATAAAAAAAAAACTTTAAAAAATGAAAAAAATCCCTCATCTCGGTGATCCTCTAGTTGTGATTCTATATCGTACATCGAGCTACGACTTGTCAAGACTATACTTTCCTCACTTACAGCAGTATCATATCTCTTGTGCTGACGCTTTGGATAGAACCTTCGAAAAGGCGTCGATTTCGATACTGGGCGTTCGGGATGTATATCTGTCAGAATTTCATATCCCTTCTGCAACTCATCGATGAGCTCCTGAAACAGTTCCTCCGCCTTGCCAAGTTCTGCAGAAATGACGTTAAGCAACTCTTTTCTAAACAGATTCCCAGTCAGCTCTGAGTTTCGGATAAGACGTTTTAGACGTTTATAGCTGACGTAATGGTCTGCCCACTCGGGGATGATTTCATCCTGTAGGCGTTTTCCAAATTTCATTTCTTAGAAGTGCTTATGTTTGTATCTTCTGATCCTTTCTGTATACGAAAGCCTTGATACTAAAGCGCAATTAAATTCCTACCGTTTCTTCAATGATGTATTATAGATTGTTTAGGGGTAAACGCGCTGAACATAGTAGTAGATTACACATTAGCATTAGCAGAATGGGCAGTTAAAAAAAAGACGAAGGGGTAGATTAACGAAAGCACGACTTTGAGCATCCCATCATGGGATCCTATGCAACAGCAGGGAACACAACAAGCTAAATTAGAGCATCGACAAGTCAATGTAACACCATGACTCATCTAGATGCGTAAAAAACACAAAAGGCGGAAGAAGGCTCAAGCTTACCGAATCAAGAGTCTTCATCGGATTACATAGCATACTATTTGTCGGTTTCTACAAAATAGGCTTGACAAAAATATACACTTCCATTCAGAGAACAAAGCAAGCGCTGCATGTCCTAGTGGGAAGGGAATAAATGAAAAACAGACCTCGAACTCCCATGCCATCAGGGGAAAAATGTCTGAAGAGAAGAGTGAAGATTAAGGGGGGGAGGAAGGATTTCAAGGCCTTTGAAAGCTAAGCTTATTTCGATCTCACCCCTTTCCTTACGCGAACGCTGAAATTTGCTTAACATTCACCTTCCTCAGAGCACGCTATTCACCTCACTCCCACGGATTTAGCCTAACACTACTCTTTTTTGATGCTCTAAATGAATCCAACAGATAATTGTAAGAAAATACACGTTTGAGCATTCCATGTTCGCGTCAATTAAAGATACTCAGAGAGGAACGCTCTTTCAGATAAAAATAGGATAATTTGATCTCCCTTCTGAAAGTTAGCACACCACTATAATTCGCGTGAACCTTGAATATGTAGATGCTATGGGGTATCCATTAAGAACCTCCAGTGATATACCCTAAAATTAAATATTCATTAATGTTGAAATGTAAGATCATAAAGGCTTCTTGTATGAGGCGTTAAAGATTTTTCCGTGTGAATACTTAAGGGAGCCATACACCAGGTGAGCATGCTTACCTAATATAGACCCTCTATTCAACAAACAGGCCTAGATCAAAATTAATAGAAGAAGAGAAATCATTTCTATCATCCTTCGATCTTTCGATCAAGAAGTGAAATATAAAACAAATATTTAATTAAGATGTATAATTTGAAGCAACATTGAAATACATTATTTCACTATCAACAGTAGAAAAAAGTCATATCTTATCGTAGTATCAAAGATTTAATAACCATCAAAGGGAAAAGAGAGGAGGAGTGAAAAAGGGAGCAAGGGAAGGACAAATGCAAGCAACCTTTGCTTAGTACAAATTAAGTTTCGAGCAAATGTCTATATGAAACATGCAAGGGTTGGAGCTCTGGGTGGAAAGCCTGGAATTATGCATTTTCTTTTAACAACCAAGTTCGTTATACAGCAATATTCAGTCCTATGGGCTTTTGTCAATCATCACCAACGCTGTGGGGAGAGTAAAGGAAGGGTAGGGTGATCCCATTAGCGATACCGTGTTGTGTGTAACTTCAATAAAAGATCCACATATTACAGAAAACAATAACGCACATAACGTTTGATATGTGAGGTGGAAAACGACGCAAAAAATATAGATTTTTGTATTCGAAAATTTACCAGGCAAATTAATAAACAACTGCCAAAAAAAAAGAGATAAATACGCAAAAATATACTACGATTACTAAATTATTTCTGAAAAGGTCATATTAAGTATCATTTTTATTATTCTTTTGATTTTTTATGTGTTTGGGAAACCACTTCTTTGCTGCCATTCAGAAGTACTCCCCATATATATGTAATTGATTCATTCATAACTTTGTTCTGAAAATTGGTACAACTTTGGCAGATTAGAAAAAAAAATGCTGCTTCTGTTATTATCAACCACTGGACAATGATACAATAATAATTATAGAAATAGCAACACGAAAAAAGTTTCAATAGTAATCCAAAAAAAATTAATCGAATAGAGCATTTATTGATGCAACAGAGCGTTCTCTACATTCTTCAAGAAATGAGAAAGTAATAATAATAATGATGAAGTATTACGTCTCGATTGCTGACGAAGTTGGGGTGGTAGGATAGGGGTTATGACGCCAGACGACACCCAGAGAGATCTGACTGAAGGAAATCACCATGGCAGGAGTAGTAAGCAAGGGCAACGTATACCTGATACTGCTAGAGGAAGGGGTTACCAAGGCAAGAGAATCAGGTTGACTTGAGGGCAAACTGTTCGAGTCTCCACTGACACTCGACGGATCCAGGGAAAGTTCAAGAGCTTTATTCTTTCTATCCGATGGCGATTCTTTTATAGGAGTAAGTATTTGTAAAAAATGATGCTTAGAAGAGATTTCATGCTTCAAAGGAGGCACTACAGGTTCAGCTGTAGGATTAAGAACGCACTTCTTCATAGCGCGTAGCACTTCACGGCAGACATGCACAAATTTGCATTCATTACCAAACCGGCAGCACCGGGTCCCGTCCTCGCTGGAGTGTAGTTTGCAGAGTAAAGCAATAGGTACTGTGAGTTCTGTCGTTGCAGGTGTCGATGTACGACTCCCCAGAAGCTCTCGAAGACCTCTGGTAATGCAGTACTCTAGCGGCCCCACATAGAAGGATTCATTAGGCTTTTCGTATTTAACAGAGAATGAAAAGTTAGCACAGATTCCGCTATTGTCAGGGGGTGCACCGTGTTTTTCACAACAAGACGGCTCCGCCAGCGCGATAGCGCGAAGTTTAGAAATCGTATTGGAGTCTGCGTGTGCTTGGTAGCACTTGTCGCCCTGAAGACACCGCCCGCTCATGAAAATTCGACACAGTGATGGAACACCATCACGTTTCATAGCCCTGGTCCTGAACATAGCTTCCAGGGGAATAAAAAGCTTCTTGCTCTCGTGATCGATAACAGGGAAAGTGTTTGGAGGTGCTTCTGCCGTACTAAGCACATCGTGTATTTTGATGCCTTCACGTTTTTTGGATTTCTTTCGAAAGGTAGATTTCATATTTTACGATTTTATTAGTTAAGTAACCTATTAGGCTGTTCCAAAAAAAGAAAGGGGGTGGTTAGCAGACCCAAGGAATATCAAAGAGATGCATATTCTTTATGTCAAAGTCATAGGGACACTTCCTTGATATGAACTATTCCTTTGATTCTGTAGAATAAGTCAGACAGTATTATCCGACTCAATTAACCGACTACTTATTATCTTTCTTTTTAAAACGAAATAAGTTCGCAAATTCACAAAATAACGCACATACACAATGGCCTACCACTCACATAATTCAACACTCGACTCCCCACCGCACAACACATACCCATCCTGTACGAAAAGTGCGAAGTGAATCGCCCCATTAGAATGAATAGATTGAAAGGAACCGTCCAAAAAGGCATTGGGGTTAACACACGCGACACAGCCATCAGGTGAGGGAAACACCACCGTCCCACACTGGCTTGACCAATCGCACTTCCGCAAAATGCGATCATCACTACAGGTAGAAACTGTAATCTCGCTCAGAATACGCTCGTTATTCGACAAGGCAAAGGGCTTGGTGTCAATCAGGGATGCTTTTCCATCCATGATGTACGCGACAAGCCTGTCACCAATTTCGTTTGAGGACACACCTGTGACAACCTCTTGGCTGCATTTGAGGTCTACCACGCTCTTTTCGTAGACTCTGAAGTCGAACCACCTCACATGGCCAGAAGCATCCCCCACGAAAGTCATACTTGCGGAAGTAGAAAGGGCCGTCACAGGAACCTTGAGATTCAACGACGAAACGATCGATGCTGCGCGAGTATCGCAAAGGACCAAATATCCATCATCACCACCATAGAGTATCATGGGTGAGGAGTCAATGGCCCCTTCTACAACATTTATCACTGGCCAGGCCGCCCTCCCAGGCGCCTTGTAACGGGAAAAACTGTGAACCTTTTTCCCTATCTGTGCATCCCATAATCCCATGCATGCATCACCCTGAGCGACTGCTAGTTGAGCGACGTCGGTGAAGGTTGAATCTAGAAAGGCCGGGCCGCCGCTGCTCAATTTGCACACATTCAACGGATCCTCAACGTTACCGTTCAATTTCCAGAGAAGGGCCACACCGTCAACGCTGCATGTAGCTACTAAACTTCCACGTGTGCAGCCACTAATCACTTCCTCGTCATGTCCATAGAGGGTCCATCTAGACTTTTTAGCAGTGCTACGTAGATTTGCGTCATTGCCTATCACTGATAAAGCCATTAAATATCCCTACCCTTTGCCTGTATAAGAATTAAACTCTTGTGGAAAGAAAACAAAACGAACAGGGGAAGCAGTTTCACTCACTTTTTTCTAAGAACTGTACCATTACTGCGATTAACCAAACAAAAACTACTGGGGGGAGTTTGTAAAGAAGGATTAAAGGTAAATACACGGAAACACACCAAGTCCAAAAGCCGAGCAAGGAAGCCAATTCATATTTAAATGAAAGAAATGCTCTTTTGGAAAGGAATTCAAATAATACTGTAGCAATAACTCATTCAGTAAAACCTTCAACAACACATACCGACCCCCAAAAAAATAGTAAGATCATATAATCGGTACTAGAAATAGACTACAGGTCATGTCTTCCCTTTGCGTAGAGAAGCTCACAAACTAGTGTTGATGTCATCACGGTACTGAGTAGAAGGGTCATCATTCAGATTAATAGTGGCATCAACACAATTTGCAGTCGATTTAATAAAATTTCTCTTCTACAATGCCCATCAAGAGAAGCCAAGAAGAAGAAAAGGTAAAGTGTCTATTTACTGTAGCAAGTGTGCACTGTCTAAAATCGAAAGCTATACGCAAATTTCTCACAAGGGCAAGAGAAAATAGTATTCGCGAAAAAAATCATTTGAAAAAGGGTAAAAAAAAATGTTTAATTTAGTCAAACGTTAACCCCAACTTGACATGCAGAAAGTAATTTATATGGTATCGGGATGAAACAAGCTTTTGCCAAGAAAGTCATCAAAGTTTTTTTTTAAGAAACTTTTCAATGCATCACCTGTCAAGGTGCTACCTTCAGCAATGAGCTCCTCTTCTTCTTCTGCCTCTGTTTTTTCTACAATTGGACACTCCCCTTTAACGGATTCAAGTGAAATATCATCGGCCGGAAAATCTAAATCTTCATCTGGGAGATATTTTTTTTTCTCTTTTTTCGGGCTAATATTCGTCTTTAGGCTAACATGTAAGGGTTGATCTACCACCCTTTGGTCTACGATATCGGGGGATCTTTTTATTTCAGTTCGCCGTCTTTTTGAAGAATGGCTCATTTCTCCATATAATAAAAATTTCCTTGGATATTATAATTCTCCCTGAATCTAAAAGAAAAATGAGATAGAAATAAAAAAGAAGCACATCATACTAGCAAGACTCAGGAACCATTTCACCCCCTTACTGTATTTCCAAGACTGATTTTCATTTCTCCCTAGTTAAAGGCGATCTATTTCTAATATCATAGCTGTACTCATTTCACACGGCGAACAACTTCCAAGAGAAGTCATCGCTTTCAAAAGAACAACCAAAAAACGGAAAACCTAATCATGGTTGTACCCGGTAAAAAGGGTCTTGTCCTTGTTGAAGGTCGTCTCAGCTTTCGTTGTGTTGGCCGGATTGGTCGCGAATCGGGATGGCTTCCAGCGAGCCACAGTTGTCACCTGAGGTCCAATAAGACCAACGTTGCAGAAGAGCCGTTTCACCGCCCGGTGATGGTAGTTGCATAACTGGAGCTTTTCATCCATAAGATACTTCGCCACAATGTACACGCCGTCCTTTTCAACACGGTCGAATGGAGCAAAGCGAGTGTCCCATGGCTCAGATCGTTTTGATGAGCTAAAATCGACATAACCGCGCAAACTATCCGCGAGAACACGCTGCTGGTCCAGCAAATACTCCTCTCGCCATTTCTGAGCCTTTTCGTGGAACCCTTGGCCGACCTTCGGGCGTTTCTTTGGCTTAGACCAAAACCTCCTCTGGCAAACCAAACTCCCAAGTGGCAACACTTTGCCTTGGATGCCAAGATCACTGCCTCGCGCAAGCAGCCTGCTAATCATCCTAGCTACAAGACACCTCTTGCTGAATGGAATAAAAAGAGAAGACTGCGCTAGTGTACCTAAAATAAAAAAGATGCATGAAAAGGTGAGTTGTCAACATCAGAATAATGATACGTTTAATTTTGGATCACATCTATAAACTTTGTGCTTGAGGTTAGAAAACAAACCTAAACGTATGATTTTTTGGAGAATATAAAAACTTATCAGCATTTGATTCGTGAGTCAACTCCTCTTTCTATTATTCAAGCGGCCCTCTAATACTTTGATTCTTTCTTTCATATCATTTATACTTCGTTGAATAGTCAACTCATCTTCTAATTCCCGATCATCGCTATATGTGTCTGTCGCATCGACAATAGTTTGCGGATGCGTAGTTGACGGCTCCAAAGTGTGATCAGCATCCTCAGTTCTGTGTCTGAAGTATTCCTCAGCAGATTTGCTCTTATCAAGCTGCTCTGCAGCCCATTTAAGCCGCAACTCTTCAGCCTTCTTTGCGGCCATTTTGTGGAGATAGGCTTCGCGCACAGCCTCCTTAATTAATTCTGCTTCAGCTTTTTCATTAAGTTCGTCCTCAGTAGGGGCCAGAGCAGCTTTCATAGGATCACTAGGAAGTGGAATACGCGAAAAGAGATTGTGTATTTCATTGTCAAGCTTCTTGTGAAAGGCATCATCATCCTCCGGGCTATCTATATGTGAAAGCTCTGCTGCATTCCCATATTTTTCCGAAATTCTGCCAATACCTACACAGCCGGTCTGTTTATGTTTGTTGAGATCATCATAAACAGAATTAATAAAATTCAGTGTAAAGGAAGAAGACCCAAGGATGCCATCATTTCCAATGTTAGAAATAGGACGTGTCAAAATTACGTTTATAAGCCCTGAAAAAGGCTGATATATTGCTCGTCTCATAAGAAATGAATAGCTGTATGGTAATAAACTAGAAAGCTTCATCCAAAACTCTCACTAAGCAATGAATAAGACCTTTAGACTTGTCCCTGTTAGAAACCGCCGTGGGAAAAATTAACTCATGGATAACAGGATAATACGTATAGTTTTAACTCGTTACTATCCGTCCTGTCATAAAAACTAGTGACTACTAGAACTCACAAGGTAAAAATTTGAATGAGGAGCTCCCGTTAAAGTCCTCCCATCTATAGAGTAACGGAATGAGAGGGGGGGAAACGAAAAGAATACTTGGTATTCCAATACAAGAATGAGACTCCTTTGTTCTAAACGCAAAGTTAAAAAACAGCCTAGAATCATCCAGAGTCTTCCATTATCATGCTTCTTTCGCAAATTTCCATAAATTAATTAAATCAAGAGTGCACTCTTCTCACTTGCTATCCAGATTCTCAAGATTCAAAATAAAATAATTGATACTATTTATTCTATAGAATCTGAATCACTGCAACTCTTCATTTTCTTATTGAACGAATAGTACAAGGCTAAAGGAAGCATGTGTGAAGTAAAACATTCAGTCCCTTTTGCTCTCAGTAGTACGGGATTCTCAAGGAAATATATCTAATCGCATTGTAGTTTCAAATTTGTAGAATCCAAACTTACTGTAAAAGGGAATGTTACTTTCCTTGCAATCAAGGATTACCTTGTAGCAGCCATATTCCTTACCGAGAGCGCACAGCTTTTCCATGAGTAATCTACCAATGCCTTCTCCCTGCGTAGAAGGAAGTACAACAACATCCTCAATATGCCCCACACGCTTACCACCATGTGAAAACTTTCGTTCAATAAAAATCGAACCTGTTCCTACAAGCCGTCTACTCTCTGAATCCTCAACAACCTTTGTTATAACCCCTTGAGTTTGGCGTTCCTTAAAAATGGATAACAATTCGTCATCTGGTATCTCTTCAGCTGTGGTGAGATGTCGAATAAGTTCAAGCAGCTCATGGCAGTCCTTCTCCTCCAAATCTCGAACGGAAAACGTGCCTGACATCATCTATTATACCTACAAAAAAAAGCTTGAGAGTAAACTAGTGAGATAATCGTTAATAATTACGACAAACTATTAGACTTAAATAGTTTGATTAACATAAAATTTTCACTATTTGACTTAATTCAAAGACAAGAACAAATCTAAATTAGCATGTGCTTGAAATTATCGCTATTTCTACAATACTATTAAACTCCAAAAACACTTTTATTCTGTGTAAGTGGTTGATAATAATTGACAATATTCGACATTCCTGTACGCTGAAAAGTAGAGCCCTGCGGCGAAAATGCACCTGTAGGTACGCTATTGAATCCCTGAGATTGAGTTTGAGCAAATCCAACATTTCCACCTGCAAACACGCTCTTGAAACCAGTAACATTTTGCGGTGGACTTGCGTTGGTACCCTGTCCAAACATACTTGGAGCTTGTGGTTGACCGAAAGCGCCCTGCAC